GGGGGTGGCTATGATCAACATTATTGTCAGAAACCAGTCAATCTCTGTGCAAAATGCAAAAAATCGGACTGCCATATTAAAAAGTTTACGACGATGATAAACGAATTCGAAAGTATTAGGTGTGAAGATTTGCGTTCTGCTAAAGGCTACAGGTAGGTTACATTTTTCACAGACGCCGTACGATGAAATCCAAATCAATTTTCCGTATTTTTGTACCGTAAGTGTCTATGGGCTAGCATGCTCACGTTCGGTACGGGCGCCGTACTATTTCTCCCACATGACCTTGAGGTTAAGTAACTAACGCCCACGAGTAGGGGCACATGGACACCATACGGACATCGTACACGACAAATGTAGCCTAATAGACTATAAGACTGGATTTTGGTCTTTTATTAAAAGTTTTATATTTATGTATGTGTGTGTGTGTGAAATCGGTCCTTTACACATTACAAGTTAAATTCCAGGGCTACGTAAATGTGTATACTCTGTGTTTACTATTACGTGTTACAACAAAGTCCGAATAATGATGCACGGCGCGTTTCAAGGAGTTTTCTGATTTAGAGGTAATTTGTGTCCTTGAAGTTCTTCCAGTATGATATATCCATTAAATAAGGGTGGTGTAATGATATCCGCACATTGATCAGTTGGTTTATTTGCTAGATTTAACTGTTTTGTTATCACAGCCACGTGCAGTGAGTATTTCGATATACAGGCCATGCCAGTAATTATTATTGCCTTCTATACCACAACTACTACTACTNCAAAGAATGGACCTTTTCCAGCCTAAAGAGCGTTCATTTTGTACCCCCCTTGAACCCCTGCTTACAAGCCTGTTCCCTTAAAATTAAAATGAACATTCGATCAATGAATGTCGACACATTTTTAATCGCTTCTTATTTGGAATTTTTTCATAAATTACTCAAAATAAATAGTAGGTTATCATAATGTTGCACGTTATTTTTCCTCGATGTCAGACAGGAAGTTACTCGTATTACTGAGGGATATATTTTTTCTTCAGGTGAGGCAGGTATCTGGATGTTTCGCCTGGAAGAAAACAGTGGTCAGGGAACAGCTCCTTTGCAATGCTATCAATGGGCAAAGAAAGAATATGCACATTACTCGGAGAAACTCAGTATGGTTAATTTGGAGCCATGTCCATGCAGCATGAACCAAGCCTGGCGGGACTTATGGTAAGAACAGAAACCATTTGTGGTTCCTTATTTTGAAGGTAAATGAAACAAACAAGCCCTGGCATTTTTAGATATTCTACTGTATGGACGAAAATTTAAAGGAATACTACCCTACGTTCCCATTACCTTATCATGCTAGCAGGATAGATCTGTCCCAGCGGGGATTCTCGCAAAGGCGCAATCATTGTAATCAGCTTAATTGTCTGGCAAGCCCCCTTGCAAAGCAGCATCAAAAACATCATGGACCAAACAGTTTCTCTACTGACCATAGAACTTTAAGACTGGGTTACCATTCCTAGGTCGATCTAACAGGATCGATCCATCCCTAGTGGTTTTTCGCTAAATTGCTTTCTGCTTAAGTGGCTTAGATGTCCGTCACGCCTACCGAAACTGCTTAACGCTATTTAATTACCCTTTTGAAAGAAAGAATGTGTAACTTAAGGTGTAATTTAGTGTGGACATTTTAAGTTTGGAATGCACATTATGTTCCTCTCCACCATTAGTTATATTATAGGCTGTATGGTATTGTCACTTTTTTCAATTGGTGATTCTGTCCCCAGGTTTCGTTTCAAGTTGAGCATCCAGGACTATACTAGAGATAAAATATGCTTCCGAACTGCTTTCCGGATAAATAATTTGAGACGGAGGTGTTGTTACTCATATTGGTGGCAATCTTATGGTTCTCTCCTGGTCGGTAGTCCAAATGGAGGTCATGTGGTGGACGACACAGTGAGTATACCCTCTGTATGTGATTTTAATGTAAAAAAAAAAAACAAAACAAAACAAGAAAAAAAACAGCTGTAGCACATGATACCAGCTGACCCATTAGGTAGTATTTATTAATTAATTAATTAATTTATTTATTTATTTTGTACAGATGATACCAGCTGACCCATTAGGTAGTTTTTATTTATTTATTTATGTTTAGTAATTTATGCTATCATTCCGTAAAAGTGAAAAACAATTCATCTTGAAAGTGATTCCTGGGTTTCATTAGAAAAATAATAAGACAACTAGAGGTACTACTTGTAGTATCACACAACCACAAACATAGTGTGAATCTGGATGTGAACAGTATGAGTTAATACTTGCGATTATAAATCTAAAAAAAAGGAATTAGGAAGATTTTCTTAATGCCTCTAAGTGCCTCATACTTTGGTAAATTGTTTACACTGATAACTGAATAAAAGTTTCATTAAAATGTTTTCTCCGACTTCAGTCACAAATTTTGCCCACCTTTTAATTAATCCTTGTTTGCAGAACATTTAGATAACTTAAAAATTTTAGACTATAATGATTGTTACAGTAACTTGCTGAGTACAAGTATCCCATTGCACCTCTTATATTCAATTTTTGCAGAGACCAGATTCAGAGGAATACGGGTATCAGAAATGCTGCATAGAGAGCTCCAACATGTGCCAACTTTTCTACGTTCTTCTACCATCCAGTGACTGCGAGGGATACAATCCGCCACGATGGCGTGAGAGTCTTTCTGATATTGTTTCACCGTAACGTGGTCCATTTTCATGCTAAATTTTCCATTATGTGCACACTTAAACTGAATGTAATTTAGCGAGAATCCCCTCGGATTTAGATCGATCCTGCTAGTACGATGCCGTTATGGGAATGGTTCTTAAGACACACGTTTCAGTCGCAGTAGCAGTAGATGTGTACAAAAGGTTGCCTTCAAGTAATCACAATAACGCATTCTCTGGCCAGTTGGTTTTTTTACACAGAACTTTTTTATTATTTGGGAAAAGTGAGATCAATGTTTTCTTATTTTTTTCAATACGTTTTTGTGATGTTACAATTTCTTTCTGATCGGATCGTGACGACATATGTCTTAGATACGACATGTGCAGGATTATTCAGGATTATCTCTTATGTCATTGAGTAAATAGGACCTATGTTAAAGAACATTGGAATAACAATGTTCAATAATTGAAAAAAACCACTCCGTAAGTCATAGGGACCATTCCCACAGATATTTGGATCGATCTATCTCCCTGGGGAGTCTCACTAAATTGCTATCAACTCAATCGGTTTAAATGACTGTCACGCCTAGTAAAGCTGTTAGGGGGTAACTATCTTTACCCCCTAGCATGACATATGGGGATCCAGTCATACAATGCGCCAAATTCTGTCCCGCACGCCACACTGAAGCTGAGGCCACAATTTTGTGATGTCACAATTTCGTTCTGGTCGTTACGTCATATCTTTTCAGGAACCAATCGCGGAGACCCTCACCTCGTTACTATGGACGGACTAAACTACACCTTTAACGGCCTGGGAGAGTTTACGTTACTGGACGTCGATAGCGGAGAGATGCAAGTTCAGGCGCGGACGAGAAAGGTGTCAGGTACATTGTCAACTTTGTGAGACGTCATACGTGACACCCTTGAAGTGTATTAACGGGATTTACTCGAGGGAGTCCAAAGTCTCGAAACTTAAATAGCTGACATCCAAACGAGATTTCTCGGGGTTTGTGGGGGAGATTGCATGTGGTCTGAGATAATGTCAGACTAGTTAGGTCTGTTTTGGCAACGAAAAAACTGACAAATATAGCCACGGATACATATACAGTGTACCTGTATATATTAATGGTTGTTTTTTCTTTTGACGGATCTCAGATTATTGCACACAATTTCAAGATATGTTCGGGTGTTTCCTTTGTAAGAAGGCTGCAAATTTGACCCCTGACTCACGGGGATTCTTGCACACTCCCCAGTCTCGTATGGTTCCAAGCAGCACTTTGTTTTTGGTTATCTCTGGTGATTTCCACTTCATACATTTCAGACACCTCAAAGGCTACGGTCTTCTCCAGTGTTGCAATACAGCTTGTCAACCACAGTCTCATTCAGGTGAACCTGAAAAACGGTACTGAGGAAGAACTGGAGGTTTTTATAAACTGCACCATGATTGACATTGGGAACTTCACCAATGACACCAGTACACATTCTTTGCTGTCGTATACCGTGCTTCTCTCCCGTCCGGAGAATAATTCGTTTCAAGTGACGTATGAAAACGGAATAACCGTATCTACGAAAGCTCTTAAGGTATCGTTTGAATGCTAACAATGTTGTCGAACGTGTATTTGTACAGGGCACGTGTCTGTGTAGTAGCTCTGAAATTAATGATTGAAATTAAATATGTAACGACTGGAAATGTTTTTTCCCTTGTGGTGACTTGCGTTAACTAGCTACTGTTTAAACACATGCATTCCTACTATCTGTAGCTAGGGTCTGTGATAAATTTATTATATTTTGTTGACTATCATTTAGACATCCTTTTTTCAGCGAATGATTTCGCAGGAAAACGGATATTCATCATGGTAGTAGTTTTATAAAATCATATGAATTATACAGGGGTTCATCAGTTACGGCACGGTAACCAGTCATATTTTTGTGCACTTTCCTGTAGGGTGCATTATCAATAAGCTTCGCAGTTCCTGTAACCTTTGAAAACCGTACTAAAGGCCTGATGGGCGTGTTTAACAACGACAAAAGTGATGACCTCACGCCTAGCAACGGTGCACCAATACCTGAGACGTCGTCAGAAGCTGATATATACCACCAGTTTGGAATAACGTGTAAGTGGCATTGAGGTGTACTGATAGACACAATTCTTTTGCATTTTCGTCTAGATTATTAAGAAAAAGGAAGCATGAATATATTATTTCTGTGTGTAGACATGCCCATCACAAACTTCATTTAAGGTTAGAATTTTAAGTTAAGGCCATAAGGAAATGCCAAAGGAGAGATTTAATTGCGTCATAAAAATGCATAACATACAGGTACTGGCAGACATATCAAGATCCTCAGAACACGGGATTTGAAAATAAATTGTTGTGATAGTCGAAATACACTGTGTGATAGGAATGAGTGATAATATGATCGAAGTACTCTAGATTTCTCGCGAATAAAAAAAATTCTCATAATAAATTTCGTCGTTATTTATTGTCTATAAGTTATGATTTTCCTCAGGGATGGTTACGAACGAAACAACCATATTCTGCTACCAGGCTGGCGAGAGCTACGAGATCTACAACTTCCCGGATTTTACACCTATGTTCACTGACAACATAACGTTCGCTAACGCTACTCTTCAAGCGGCAGCTGAAGACCTCTGTGGATCTGATATGTCATGCCTCTTTGATACAGCACAAACTGAAGATCTCAGTTTTGGCGAGGCAAGTCTCAGTGAGAAAATTGCCAGTGACAGAGCTACCTTAGACTTAGGTGAGATGACGCCATTTTATTACGTCGTATATATAGCCTACCGTGTAATAAGGTGGCGTTCTACAAAACGTATGGGTGTTAAATAATGTAACTAGTAAAAACCTGACAATGAAAAACAAGACTGCTATGGAAAAGACGCTATGGGGAGTTTCCGCCAGACAACACCAACGACACCAGATGTTGTCAGAATAAACAAGGCTGTGCTACACGGCCGAAATCTTTCTATTAAGTTTTCCCAATTTTAATTGTTGTGAGAAGGTTTATCAGTTCAGTGATTCTTATGATTGCTTAAGAAGCCATTACTATCTTACTAAACCACGGATTGAATTCCTGAAATACTGTGTAATTGAAGTAGCATTTATAAACCGACATACGCTGCTATCCACTCTTAACGCACGTACTAAAACATATGGATCTCTTCCAGATAATTTTGGCGCCAAATTTCTTAATAACTGTTTTAGGCCTCTATTTTGCCAAGTAGCATTAGAAAAACCCGTCTTTGATAATAAAATGCTAATATTCGCAAGTACTTTTGTCTTTTTTGCATAGATAATTTCCCTCCAAAAATCACAGGGCCAAGATCGCACAAGGTCGATCGTGGTGTATTGACCACCATAACAACGAACGTGTCAGACGCCAATGGTGACACTATGACGTGCCAGCTCGAGACAAATGGCTCCACTTCTGCCAACCTATCGCAAGTTTCTGGCGACGAATATAATGTGGACATTCTCATCAACTCCATCTCGGAGGAGCTAAATTTGAAGTTGATAGCAAAGGTACAGTACACGTGTACATATAGGTGGCGTGGTCCGTGTATGAGAGGGCTAATCGATTTCCTTTGCGTCAGACAAATTTTGAAAGGTGACATCTTTTCGTTAACCTTTAAAGAAATTTTAACACAACTTCACGTTGTACACGTTAATATTTTCATTATTCTGATAAACCTAAGTTTTATTTGTTTCTAGGTTTAATTAGCAATAGATAATTAAAAATAACAGACAGAGAGATGGAAGGGCAAACAGACCAGTAAAATGTATTACGACAAGTGGGAGGCCATTGGAGAGAAGTAATTTTCAGAAATGTTATATTTATAGCTAGGGCACTTTGGTTGGTACTGCATGTAATAAATATTTATATCAGGTGTACATTCCTAACAAAATATCTTATTTGCTCGACATTGTTTGCTCATAAATACTGCATTTCTGTATTTCCTCAGGACACCAATGACGCCAGGAGCTCCTACCAGCCTGTGATAGAATACTGTCCTTGTGAAAACGGTGGCACTTGCGCATCACTTACAGCTTCCGAGCTGGAAGAAGCGTCTTCATAGTAAGTTTAGACAACAACAATGTTGAAAACCATCTACCGGGTATGTTATACATGGTACAGATTGTTCCATTTAACTCAGCCTCCATATACATGTGCGGATACTTCTACTATAATAGTTACTTGAGCTTGGTAAACAGTAAGATTTTAAAAAATATGTAACACGTCTTCGCTTCGGGACAAAGTTCGTGTATACCGCCGTCACCAAAAGAACAGGGCAATCTTATTGTACACCGCGATCAGTATGTTTAAGAATTTGGTCGTCTATTGACGTAATGTACTCTATATTCTGTCAAAATTGTAATCGGACGAACTCTTCATTATTAACCCATGTCTACCTTTTAACAGCTTCATCGTCTTGGAATGTATATGCCCGGACAGTTACACGGGGACGTACTGCGAAAGTGACATCGACGCATGCGCAGAGAACGCAGATCCCTGTTATCCCGGGGTTCGTTGTCAAAATGACCCTCCACCACGTAATATAACTGGGTACACGTGTGGGCCTTGTCCTGAAGGTTATACTGGGGACGGGAAAATATGCGACGGTAAGAACAATACCCTGTAATATAGCTGTCAATTAATTCATCAATAAATAAACAAATCAACCAATTAATTTATAGATTGATATTCAAACGTAGTTAAAACTTTATCAGTCAGTCAATTAACAAACCAATCACTTCATTAATTTAATGGGTGGCTGTAAAATTTGATAATTCCAGATATAAACGAATGTGTCAATGGCAGTGAATGTGACCACATCTGCATCAACATTCCGGGATCATACGCTTGCTCTTGTAACACGGGCTATCAGTTGGCTGCTGAAGGGCGCTGTGACGGTAAGAGACATGGGCAAATGTCTGTAGTTTTGTTTTCTGGTTTTGAAGTCGGTAATATGTTCAAATACAGACCAGCAACCATTTGCTACATCATGAAAAAAAAAAAAAAAACAAAAAAACACGCGGATGCAAAATCGATGTATTTTCGTGCAATATGTTGTACAGTAGGGGAGTTTGGGTGTTTATAAGTATGTGGAAGAATACAGAATACAAAATGTACTGAATCATTGATCGGCTGTGCAGAGATATGTAACACGGATGAAAAAGTTCGAGATCTGTAAAGTTGTCTTGAAAGAGCAGTAATCGCCTGTGGCAGTTTGGGAGCCCTGGTAATGTTCAGCACATACAATGTATTGTTTCATTTCACTATGTGATGCACATTCATTGGTTAAAGAGACATAAAATGCAGACAACGAGAGTGCTTTTTAAATTTGAAAATCCAAAGCAGTATAACATTTCTAGCTTTAAATTAGGTTCTGCTTTTTATGGTTAAGATTTAACGATAACAACGGCTGATGTTCTTTAGCTTTAAATTTTAGTGAAAAGGAAAAAAGGGTATTGATTGTATCCCTTATTTCCAAAAAATTAATTTCCTTTTTCTTATGCTTGATCCGGGGCCTGATTTCGATTTCTTAATAAACGGTGGTTATTCTCCATTATGTCGATCCTAGTTTTACACAATTAAAACATGACGGTATTTCAGATGTGAATGAATGTGTCCCAGCCAGTGACTGCTCCCAGACTTGTATTAACACGGAGGGTTCCTACACCTGTGGGTGTGACACCGCCTTCTCCCTCCAGGCTGACGGCAAAACTTGTGCTCGTGAGTAATATTTAATAGTTTGTTGGTCACGGCTGGTATTAGAAAAAAGCCAATTGTAAATGATTTAAGCTCAAAATCTTGGTGTTTTTACATATTTTGATAAAAATGACGACAAGCAATCAGCGCCCGAAAAACAGTTTTGAAATTCTCAGCATTCAAGATATGATTCTATTCCAGCCACCACGGTTTGCACCACTAATATCGGCTGTGATCTGGTGAATGGCTGGTGTTACGTAGATTCAGTCGGAACCAATCAGTGTAGTTGTAAGAAAGGCTTCACTCTTACTGGAGGAACCCAATGTAACGGTGAGTGACAATAACATGTAGGTATTCCTATTGCTTATGCGTGTGCGTTGTGTCATATGCTGTGGCATTCATGGCGTCAAAGCACCGGAGCTGGGCATCTGATATCAAATTGTCTAAGCTCTTTTGAAAATTGATGAGTGTTAAAGCAAAGACAAAACGTCAGATTAAGCCATCATCGTAACTGCTCTGTGACGACAATATGACACATCTGTAAAATTAAGTATTGTCATATAGTCTATGGGCCAATGTAGACCCCCCTCCCCCCCCTTAGTGATTTTCGTTCACTATGTTTTTCTGATAGCTTAGGTCCTAAGCTTTGATTTTCCGCTTGTTTGCCATTAAACTGGTGGTGGGTGTGTGTGCTACAGCCGTTGCCATGGTAACGTCTGAGATAAAAAATTGAAATTTCTGAGACCAAAAAAATATTAAATTATTCAAATGTGTTAAGTGAATGGAATTCAAAATCCTTTCAGATGTATAGTTTAAGAGCTGCACTATACTTTATGATCCTCAAATTATTCCAAGATGGCTGTAAATTCAAGATGGCGGCCAATTTTTGCTAATTTTTGAGTAATTTCAATTATTTTTCATATTTGAGTCTTTATTCAATAATAAAGGAATAAGAATGTGGGATATGTTTTGATGCGCCGGAATAGCATACAGTCTCTACTTGCTACCTACAGTATTTATTTTAGATGAAACCTTTTAATTTTGCTGTAAAATCCTGAAATCCAAAGTGGTGGCCNGAAATAAAACATTTACATGTATATGTCATAACTCAGCTTCAAACTGCTAGAGAGGTAAAATTATATCCACGTTTTCGAAAAATCAATATATCCACTAATTTCAACTGAATATATAATTTAATTTTTTATAACATTTTACTTAAAATATAATTGTATAGAAATGGAAAATCGCCATGTATATTTGCAAACTAGTTGCCTTTCACTCAAAATCAGACTATTTTGTGTCATTCAACTTGCCCAATAGATGGTAAGAGACGATCAAATAATTTCAGCCATCTACCGCACGATAATTTAAATACTTGTAGACCATATTGAGTTATTACAAATGTTCACGATCTTGGCTTCATATTATTCAAATTCAATACATCAAAAGGTAACAACAAATACAAAAGAATTAAAAGAATAAATACAGATAGAAAGAAGGCAATTTCGGAGAACAATATACAACATTAGAAGTTTAATAGGACAGCGATATATACCAAAGTAAATCACCCAGGATTTGTTGGGGTCATTTTGGATTTCAAGTTTTTTTTTTTTTTTTGTTCTTAAAATGATAATTATAGGAATAACAAACACTGTAAGCAGTAAGTAAAGACTAAATACCATATGGCTATCAAAATACTTAACCCATTAAATTTATTAAATTTTCAACGTTAGTTACTCACAGTAGAAACAGGTTTAGAAATCAGCTTAAACCGGCCGCAATTTTGATATTGCTGCCATCTTGAAAAAAATCACATCATCTTGGATGTTCAAAGAATGTTTTGCCATCATACCACGAATACAGATGTCTTCTTAAGTTTACATTATTGTTGAAGTTAATATATTTGAAATGTATGAAATTTTCTTAGTCTCAGAAATGTCAATTTCGAACCCCTGTGTTAGTATGGCAATGGCTGGGTTAATTGAATAGAAAACAAGCAGAAAATGGGATCTTAGGATGTAAGCGATCTATAATAGTAAATAAAAGTCACTAAAGGGGGATTCAGGTTAATAAAATCAATCTAAGTAACATTATTTTGGAATATAATTTTCAATCAATTTTTTAGCAAGAGTGTATCATGTTGACCATAAATATATAGTCCCCTATACTCATTGACAGCCATTTCTTTCAAATGCGACAGAATACATTAGTATTTCAACTCAAAAGTATTCTTTCCCATGTCAAATGTGAGTGATTACCATGTACATGAAACTTTGTGTGATTTCTTAGGTCAAATGTGAGTGACTTGCATTTATTGGAGGGTATTATAGGTCTTTTATCTATAGTCTAGGTTATTGTTGACCATTTGATCTTTCTTTTTTTTAATCATTTTACATGATCACACATCTAGTAGTGATCAGCACTATTAAAACATAGGTATTCATCCAAACTTAAGATAAAATTAGGAATATTGCTTTCATATTTTAGTGTACTGGTTACAAAGATGTAAATTCACATTCATTGGCGGCCATTTTGAATTTTGAAAGCCATACTGTAATCCAAATTAAATCAAGTAATTGAAAAGGGTTCTGCTTTTATATTCAGTGCACCAAAAGTAATGAAGAACTAAATTTGGGATTATAAATCTGTCATATTTCCAGACAGGACAGCTACATGTAAAAGACTTGTTTTGTGGCAGCCATGTTGGATTTCAGGATTTTTCATCTCAATAAAAAGATTGCACCTTGAACAAACACTACAGGCAGAAAGTACAGATTCCATGCTACACTGGTGCATCAAAATATCCCAGATATTGCAATTCTTTAATAATTAAATAAGAATTAAAAAATTAAAAATTATCAAAATTTCTGAAAAAACTGCAAAAATTGGCCGCCATCTTGGAATTGCCGCCATCTTTGAAAATTTTGTTCATCGTTAGGTATAGTGCATATCTTAGACTACATGTCTAGAACGATTTTGAATTCTATTTAGTTTATGTATTTGAAATATTTTAGATTTTGTTGGGCTCAGAAATGTCAATTTTTAACCCGTGTGTTACCATGGCAACGGCTGTAGCACACCCACCCACCACCAGTTTAATGGCAAACAAGCAGAAAATAAAAGCTAAGGACCTAAGCTATCAGAAAAACATAGTGAACGAAAATCACTAAGGGGGGGGAGGGTTTCGGTATTTGGCCCACGGACTAATATGTCCTTTTTCCTAGAATTACGTTAATAAACCACAACAATGTGATTATGTCTGTTATAATTACCAGATGAGGACGAGTGTTCTACCGGAGCAAACAGATGTAACCAGCAGTGTGTGAATACTGTGGGCTCCTACAACTGTTCTTGTAACGGAGGCTACACCATGTCAACTGATGGCTACACCTGCAAAGGTAGATTGATTTCCCGATTTTTAAAATGTCTCCTCAAACTGCATTTAAAAATAGATAAGTGAATTCGTGTATTTTTGCTTATTAAGTCATTTTTTGTGTAGTGGAAGCGGAAGAGGATTTTTATAATATTCAATTGAAATAAACTATTTCCATATTCTAGACATAGATGAATGTAACCAGTTAGCCCCGGTGTGTAACTCTACGCAACTGTGTATTAACAGTCCTGGTGGATATAGCTGTACCTGTCCTACAGGCACCGTGGATATCGGGGGCGAGTGTAGACGTAAGTATGTGTATTAACAGTCCTGGTGGATGAAACTGTACCTGACCTACCGGGGTACAGGCACCGAGGATATCGGGGCCAGTGTAAACGCAAGTACGCACTGGCTAGTCGTAATTGTTCCATAGCTACCAGCATTCGATATTATACTTTTTGACAAATATGTTTATACCAAGGTGAACAAGTCTACTGTCGTAAGTGCCATCAGCAAAAAATGTATAATTTTAAAGCATGCAATAGTTTGAAGTTACAGTTAATTTTTCCTCTCTGATTATTAAATACAGAAAACAGCAGGAATTATTTTTTCATTTGATCTGTTCAGAGTTGGCCGATAACGTCATGCCGGCCGCCGATGAGACCAGGACTCCAAGCACAGACGAGAGAGAGAATGCTGTTAGAATGTCCGCCCAAATGGATATATCTGACGTAAGTATATGAAACCGTTGTCTAATAACTTCGTTTATCGTGTGCTCTCTCATCAATATCTTTATATTTTCTCTCTTTTCTTACATCTCTACATCTCTCAGTTACACACACGCCAGATTCCCCCTGCCTCTACATCTTAGAACTGATAGTAACATACGGGGCTCAGTTTTGATACTTAATCCATAAGTGTCTCTACGAGAGCGAGGCTTTGCGGGAATCAGGAAGCCTTACAGGAAGGTGGCCGTTTTGGTGGAGGTCGTCCAAAATGGATTTTTATTCTCTCGTCAGTTTTGTATAGACCTCGATGACTATGGGGAAATTGTTAAGGTTTCCAGGGTATTTAGCATTTTTAAAGTGTTTGTTTTTGCTGTATACTAAGTACATGTATTGCGCCAACGCACGTAGTTTTTATACTTTGAAAATCGGATAAGTTGTCGGTCGATTGTCCATTATAATTGTAGAATTCTATTACTCGTACATTTTTTTTGTTTGTTTTGAAGAGTACTGCAATCCATCCAATGCTGGCATTAATTTTGATTCTATTTGACAGTATACGGTTGCCGTGGATACGGCCGTTACTACAACGATAGCTTCCGCGGCAACTACCTACTGCGCAGGCGGGAACTGTTCTTTAATCTCAGGAACGGCGACAACGCGACGAAGGTGGGCACTTACGTATAATGCGCTTAATTAAAGCATCGTTGAATGCTGACTGTATGAAGTACATACAAAAGCTTCAATTTTAATTAAGAATTGGTTAATTATATTAATCAATCAATAGAGTATATTTATAAAAATGGCGTATTTTAAAAACAGTGGAATACGTAGGGCAACGCAACGCCCGTAATCTAATGAAAAGAACCATATATTGTAGTTATACTTCTAAGTCAGTCTTTCAGCGCAGGTAAGAGTACCAAAAGTAAAAACAAACATTTGAAGGTATGACGCTTATTGTTTACCAGGAGGTCCACGCCCACCCTTACCTTCAGCTACAACTTCGTTCTGCGTGTGCCAGGTTACCCAGCACCATCTAGCGATGACCCCACCTCCATAGATCTGGCCTATTA